GTCTGCAGAGTGAAGTACTGTAACAGCTTGCCCGACATCCCGTTTGATCCCAAATTCATCACTTATCCCTTCGATCAGCACAGGTGAGTTCATTTATACACTCATTTCCCTCTCTGTTAAATCCAGCCTCTCCAACAGCTGAGGTATTGCTTCTGCTTGGCAGGTTTGTTCAATATAAAGCTACTTCTCTTGAGAAACAGCATAAACATGAGCTCTTGACTGAGCCAGATCTCGGTGTCACCATCGACCTCATCAACCCTGATACTTACCGTATCGATCCCAACAGTAAGTTCAGTTGAAGGGGACGCTTGAGTGAATTATTCATCCTTCATAACTTCTTGAAATATCTTAAATTTAAATGTAAAACAAGCACTTTAAATTCTCAGTTCTTTTGGACCCTGCTGATGAAAAACTGTTGGAAGAGGACACCCTGCCTCCATCTAGTTCCAAAAGGTAAGAATCATTAACTAAGGGGATAAATGTTAACCTTTTACAAAATATAAAAAAAATAACATTCCTTTTCTATTTTTTCTTTAAGGTCACAACAACATGCCAAGGTTGTGCCATGGATGAGGAAAACAGAATATATTTCCACAGAGTTTAACAGATACGGTGTTTCCAATGAGAAAGTGGAAGTCAAGTAAGTTTGATCTTTTCCACAAAGGAAAAGTATAGAGGTGTGTTTGTGTTACCTTCAGGTTAGACTTGTTAGAGTTTATGACGGATTTATGTTTTGTGTTCAGGATTGGAGTGTCTGTCAAACAGCAGTTTACAGAAGAAGAGATCTACAAAGACAGAGACAGTCAGATTTCTGCCATTGAGAAGACGTTTGAAGATGCACAGAAATCGGTGAGTGGACATGTTTTAGGCTGCGAAAATGTTTATAGCCAAAACAGATTAGAACCAATCACATAACTTTGAATGTGATGTAAAAACATTTTATTTTGATAAGAAATCTCTAACTACCTGCCTTCTGTAACAGATATTTAAGCAGAATAGCACGCAGAGTATTAGGCAGGCATCAGAGATTCATTTTTCCATATATTTTCTCCATATATTACTTATGATGGTTTAACTACACTACAGTGATGAAGCAGATGTACAATGTTCAAGGGCGCCACCGTTCATGCCTTCGCATCTCTTTTAAGTCAGTTTTCTGTTCTTCTCTTACCAAAACATGCTGATTGATTCTAATAACTCTTCAGGCTAATGCTACCTACATGGTGGATAGAAGGAACGTTAAAATACAATCAGCTAAGCTATTATAGTTGTAGCTAACCGTTGTTTCCATTTCCTTGAACTGTTGTTTGTTTTCTTGAAGTCAACTATATTTTATTTCCCTAATTCTGATGCAAAAAGTTGAATTGAGAGACTTCTTTTTGGTGAGGGAGGATACAGCTTGGATCCTGCTAAGAAGAAACAGCACTCCCTCCATACTTTTTCTATGTATACATTAAGTAGAAATACAGTTAACCTGTTTCTATTTTAAAGGTGCATTTTTTCAAGAAGGCAGACATGTTTAGCTGTGGTTTATTTTTAAGGAGAAAATGTTGCGTTGCTTTTCCTTTGCAGATCACACAGCACTACAGTAAACCCAGAGTCACCCCTGTGGAGGTCTTACCTGTGTTTCCTGACTTTAAGGTAGGCTCACTGCTCAGTGAACAGTTACAGTCGTTATCTTATATTGGCACAAGGAAAAATAAAAAATCCAGCTTTGATTAATGAGTCTCATACATTTTCCTTCCAGATGTGGATCAACCCTTGTGCTCAGGTCATCTTTGACTCTGACCCTGCTCCTAAAGACATATCAGGGCCAGCAGGTGTTGAAATGATGTCTCAGGCCATGATCAGGTAACTGATAACAAGTTTCTTTGAGCTCAATGTTGACTAAAAGCTCTATTTTTCTGTTAACCTTTATGTAATGTGTGTTTACTACAGAGGAATGATGGACGAGGAGGGAAATCAGTTTGTGGCCTACTTCCTGCCAAATGAGGAAACACTTCGCAAACGGAAGAGAGACTGTGAAGAGGGATTGGATTATATGCCTGAGGACCTGTAAGTAAACGTTTGACTGTGGGGATGGGCAATAAAATGATTTCTATATGTATTGTGATAGAAATACATCTAATAGAAAGATCTGTTATTTCAGTGAATTCTAGTCTAGAACCATGCAGCATTCTGGGGGGTGTAGGGAGAGGGGGGGGGGGGGGGGGGGGGGGGTCATCAGCCTTTTAAAGGTTTAGCACTTCATGGGTACTGAGTCATAGGAAGGGCTACCAGTGTTGACCTACGAACTGGAAGGGTTAGCGTTCACCTAAACCTTATGCATAATAAACATTATATTTATTCTTTTCACTTCAATTTTTGTAGATATTTTAATTTTGATAAATGCATTTGTTGCCTATACAATTGTTATCAAAAAAGAAGAGCAACAGAATAAAGTCAAATTTCAAACTAAGCCCACTGGGGCGTTGTGCTATTTTCAGAAGACGCTGAAAGACGCTGCTGCGACCGCAGCAGTGACCACGCTTAAAAAAGTGAAGTTTACAATTTTAATGTAGCCTATCAAATAAGTAAAGAAAAAATAAGTATCTATGTTGACTAATATGAAAGGCTAATACGTACATTTATAGCCACCACGCTAATATGTATGTATAACTTATTTTTGCAGCTTATGCGTAAATGCCAAAAGTAATTAAAATATGTCTTTTTTTTTTCTTCTTCCAGGTATGATTACAAGATTGCCAGGGAATACAACTGGAACGTCAAGAACAAAGCCAGCAAAGGTTATGAGGAGAACTACTTCTTCATCTTTAGAGATGGCGACGGTGTTTACTACAATGAGCTGGAGACTAGGTAAATACCTAAACAATGACTATCCAATTCCACAAAAAAGATTAATGGTTTGTTTGATTCCTCATTAAAATCTTTTTGACCTGTAGGGTACGCTTGAGCAAGAGGAGAGCCAAGGCTGGAGCACAGTCCACCACCAACGCGGTGCTGGTGTGTAAGCACAGAGATATGAATGAGAAGGAGCTGGAGGCCCAGGTCAGTCACTGCTCTTTATTTATGTGTGTCTGAGCACACGTCGGGCGTAGAAGCTGTGTTTGGGAACCATTTACTGCTAAAGAGTTTAATGACAAGTTTCTGGGCTTCAAAGCATATATCAAGATGTTGTATTTGAGCTTGTAGCCCAAAATAATTAAGTTTGTAATAAGTTAAGACATCAAGAATAATTATTATGATCCTTTCAAGCCCTTGAATTTCTCCAATTAATTTTGATCAGATTTGAAATGATTTGGCTGTTCACTATGGTGTCTGTCACACCATTCATACTTTACAGATTGACCCATATAGAAGATCTTTAAGGGATCTGTTACCTGCCTTATACTTGTTGTCTTTATCCTCAGAAACACATTTTATTACTTTCTCTATTTTTGTAAAGGCTTGTAAAGGTAAACAATGAAAGGACTTTTGTTCTTACAAGGATAGACCCAGCTGAATAGCGTTCAAGAATTAGACTCTGCCCCTACTGCAAGATGATGAAACAACAGGCTGGTTCAATCTGCAGTGCCATCTGCTGTCTAAAACAGGAGCTGTATTGAATGCCCTGTATAAGCTGCCCATACTGTTTAACATCTGGTCCACAGAAATATAACACAAAGAGTGCTTACTTATACCGTTTGCTTTGCTAATTAACAGCCGCAAATCAATTAAAAAACATTTAAATTACAGGAGTCCAAATTGTCTCTATTGTCATTCTAGTTTATGATTGATTTTATTATGTTGTTTTTATATGTCTTATTGTACTGCTGCCCCTTGGCCAGGTCTCCTCGAAAAAGAGATTTTATCTCAAGGGACTTCCTGGTAAAATAAAGGTTAAATAAAATAAAAATAAAATAAATTCTTAAATTTATTATCTGAATAAAAAAGAATGATAAAAAAATATATTTTGATTTATTTACTGTATGTATCCTACATCTAAGTGTTTAGTTTTCTGTTAGCTCACTGATGATTTTGTTTTATATTTCAGGAGGCACGTAAAGCTCAGCTGGAGAACCATGAGCCAGAAGATGAGGAAGAAGACATGGACATGGACAAAGACATGCAGGATTCTGGTAAGTTCTTTCAAAAGGAACATCTTTATGTTCATCTTTGTTTTCATTAGCAGTAAAAACTGAAGTATTACTAGAATGTGTTTGTCAAATGGATCTATCAACTGTTTTTCCAGGTGACGAGAAAGAGAAGGGCAGCGGCAGCGAGGCGGAGAACTCTGGCAGCGAATCTGAGAGGGAAGAGGAAGACCAGGAGCAGAGCGGAGAAGAAGAGGAAGAGGAGGAGGACAGAGGGAAGAGGCGGAGGAAGCCAAGTGGCAGTGGAAGTGAGAGTGGCGAAGAGAGGACCAGAGAGCTGCGAGATGAAGTGGAGATCTTTGGGAGTGACGACGACAGCGACGACAACGAGCCCAAGAACCCGGCCCGGAGCAGCGGGGAGGAGGGCAGTCGAAGTGAGGATGAAGCAGAGAACAACAGGAGCCACAGCGCCTCTCCAGTACACAGCGACCGCAGCAGTGACCACTCAGAGACCCATGCTCAAAGTGGAAGTGAGAGGGGATCGGACTCCTCTGAAGCCAGCGACAGTGAATAAGATCTGCAGTCTGCTTAGACTCCATCCCCGGCTCAAAATGTTGACCTTCTCACCCCGTCAGTAAACCTATGACGTTGTCAACAGCTGGAGCTTCTTCATAACAGCAAATGTGTGCAGAATGCTCTTTGCATTGGAACTTATTCCATCCTTTTTAGTCAAGTTTTTATTTGATGATTTGTATCCCGGTGTAGTAGATGTTTTATTTTATTTTATTTTTTTTCATCACTTGTTAAAATCATGGGGAAAAAAAATCTTTGTTCTCTTTATGTATCACCAATTATACTGGTATAGCTTTTGAAATGGATAATAAATCACTGGTTATGTTTGGATAAAAGACTTGATTCATTTTCAAATATTTGTTGCATCGTAGAAGCTTTATAATTTACTTCAATTATCTTTAAATTACAATGATAAAATGTTAATGTTGGGCAGTACACAGACCTCTGGTTACAACCTGTAGATTCAAAACACTAGAGTCACCTGCCAGTGTTGGGGGAAAAAACAGCAATTTTCAGAAAATAAAATAAGCATTACTTTTATTTAAACTTGTTTAAATAAAGGATAAAAGGTAACAGGTCAGGTCTAAAATGCCTTGCAAGCCAAAACTGCAGCAAAGAGTAAATATTTTATCATCAAAAAGAACAAAAAAGGAAATAAAATTAATTGTCTTGTTTAGAAATGGAAAAACTTGGTTTGAAAACTGGAGGAGATGCAGTTTCAGCGGAAAAATGACAGCTGGTTCTTGAGCCACTCTTCTGTCAGGTCATCAGCATTTCTGGTTTCAAAGACCTGACAGAATAAAATGGATGCTATTAATACATTAAGTCTTAACACATATAAAAAAAATAGCATAAAATGGTCTAAATCATGTACATATTCTGTATTTTAAATGCTGTTTAAATGGCAACAAAATTCTTTCAATTTGACATACACGTGGAGAACATTGTTGGTGGTCATTTAATGAAAGGAAAAACCCACCATATCCATACAAATAACTTGAATGGCGAACATAAAATCTACAAAATCAAAATTCAGACATTGCTTTACAATGCTAATGCTTCAGCAGATGGAAAAAGAAAAATGCATGAAACAGGCCTGGACAAAAATGATGCAAAACCTTATTAGGCTATCACTGCAATCAAATATTCCTGTTACTGTCAGTGAGACTTCTGCTCTTCTCAGCAGGTATTTTGACCCATTCCTCATGAGCAAACTGCTTTGAAGGGCTTCTTTTCCAGACGGCATGTTTCAGCTCTTTTCATATGATCAATAGGATTTAGGTCAGGGCTCATAGAAGAACATGTCAGAATACTGTAGTCCCAATATTTTCCTCTTAACCATTACTGGATGTTTTTGTATGTGTGTTTTTGACTAGGTTGTCTAAGACCAAGCTTTCTGATAGTGGGCAGCACATTTCTCTTTAGAATTTTTGATAGTCTTGAGAATACATTGTAAGCTGCGGAAATTCAAGACAACCTGTGTCGGATGAAGCAAAGCAGCCCCAGAACATAAAGGAGTCTCCTTCATCCTTCACAGTAGAGACAGCATACTTTTCTTGATATGCTTCATTTTTTCCATTAAAGTCCTGATAGAAAGCTTTATTTTTGTCTCATCTGTCCATAGAACATTCTCCCAGAAGCTTTGAGGCTTTATTACATCTCGTTTGGGAGATTTCAGTGTGGCTTTTTAATGGTTTGCTTTAAATGAGGGTAAATGAGTCTCCCATTAAATCCACTTTGGCTCAAACGACGGATGGTTTAATCCCACACTGATGTTCCTTAAGCTTGAAGTTCCCCTTTAATCTCTTTTACAAGTTTTTCCTGGGCTCTTTTGTTACCATTCGTGTTATCTGTTTCTTTGGCTCGTCATTAATTTCCCTCCCTTTGGGACGTCCAGGGATGTTGGCTACATTCCCATGGAGCAACTCTAGTCATAAGAGCATCCAGCTGCTTTGAGACGGTCTTATAGCCTTTACCTTCAACACGATTGTCTATAATTTCCTTTTATCTCTTCCTCTGGTCTGTGTTGAGTGTGGTACGCACCATGTCACAGACTAGTGACTAGCTGTATCCCTATAAATAGAACCACCGATTATAAGATTATAGTGGTGTGATGCTAATTAGTGGACACACCTTGATTTAATATGTCCCTTTGTTTACCAATATTTTCAGTCTTTTCTAGGGGTACTATCTAATTCATTAGTTTATGGATGTAGCTCCAATATTCATATTAATATTTATACACAACTTTTTACAGTCCCTAACTACGTACTACTTTTGCTTGTACATACACCTGTAATATTATGTATATCCTGTCTAGCACTTCTGGATAGATGCAAATCACATTTTGTTGCTTTGTACTCATAACAGTGCAATGATAATAAAGTTGAATTCTATTCTATCCTATTTTAAACCATTCTGTTGAAGCATTGTTGCAAATCAATGTCTGAGTTAAATTTGTTTGCTTTCATAGATTTTTTTAATAACTTTTTTTCAGATCCAAGTTATTTCTTTGACCATTGTGGGTCCTTTTCTTTTAACTAAACATGGATTACCAACAATTTTGTCCATGTGTGTATATTTTAGTGTCAGAATACCCAAATGTATGCATTTTAGTTTAGAATGTTTTATCCAATGTTTAAAAGAATGAAGAAATTATTAATTTTAATTAGCATTACATGACCTCTCATGACCATTGACATTACATGACAATGTAATTATAATCAGGTCAAAATGAACGTATTACCTTTGTGAGCTCCGCAGCTTGGACCAGTCGATTCTTGCTGCCTGCATACATCATTTGCTGCTCTGGCTTACACCCTGTAATATTAAAGACGGTAGAAAAACAAACATATGTTGTATAAAATGTGTTTTTGTTGGGATTTTGTTTTGTAAACAAGTTATTCTGATTAGGCATGGTACCTGGCCACAACCAGATCTAATAATTGCCATCTGCCAATTATATCTAAAAAAAATCACTTGAATAGAACCTGTTTGACAACATGGCTACTCAGTGGCACAGTGGGTAACACTGCTGCATTGCAGCAAGAAGGTTTCAGGTTGGATTCCCGGCCCGGGGCCTTTCTGCATGGACTTTGCATGTTCTCTCTGAGCATGCATGGGTTCTCTCCGGCTATTCCAGCTTCCTCCCACCATTCAAAAACTGTTAGGTTAATTGGCTTCTCTAAATTTGCCCAGCGATGGACTGGCAACCTGTCCAGCATGTACCCTGCCTCTTGCCCATAGACAGCTGGAGATAGGCACCAGCACCCCTCGTGACCCCATTTGGGATAAGCGTGATGGAAAATGGATGGATGCTTGACAACATGAAGTAGTGTAAAATATCCCAAAAGCAAAACATAAAACCCCAATCTAAAGAAATTCAAAATTAATGACTTATATCAGTTTGGACAGCACTATACCGCAAAAAAATCTAAATCTAAATAAGAAATTTTTTTTTTTGTAAATTAAGTGCTGTTTTTTTTTTTTATTGAGGAAGAAAGGGAGACACTTTACCAACAGAACAAGACAGTTTACATTTTAAAATAAGCATTGTCTTATTTCAAGTGCATATTATCTATTTATCTTATTTTAAGAGTAAAAATACTCATTCCATTGGCAAATCATCTTATTAACCTGGTGAAGCTAAGGGTAAATACACTTAATTGAAGACATTTTTACTTATTTCTAGATCGTTTTTGCAGTAATCATTTCAAAGACTTTGGGACTCCAGCGAACCTCACTGTGAACAGTTATTTAAAATATGACTGAATTGAAGAACATTTATTGTCTGTTTTTTAAATTAATGTTTTTTCTTCTTTCATATAAATATATAGTTACACCTGCATGGGCAATTTTGTCTTACTATTTTTGAATTTTCTTGCTTTTTCATTACAAAAATCTAATAATAAAAAAAGTAGATGTTTTTGTAAATTTGTAAATTCCAACTCAGAATTCAATAAAGCTAGCCCTATTTTCATAGGACACATTTAAACTATAACAGTTTAGAGGCAAAGGTTGAGTTAGAAAGCTCTAATTACTTACCCATTGGGCTTGAGAAAATGAAACAGAGCGGATAAGACACCCTCCCATCGGCATGGATATATTTGTAGCTGTAGACGATATATGTGAGCTGTTGTCAAGGAGGATGAACTTTTTTTGTACAATTTAATGAATTATGCACATTTTTGATCTACCTCTCAGTTTTCATGTTGTTGCAGCGATTAAATCTTTTCCTAATATTAAAAAAGGTCTGGACTCAAACCAGCGAGTGTACCTTTGTGCTGGATTTTGCATATTGTGTCATAATCTGCGTCATTGTCACCAAATTCTAACTGTCTATGAAAGAGATGAAGACTAACTATGACTGGAAATTCAGTTAGGATATCTGGGTTGGCGCTCTGGCAGCTCGTCTCTCAGGTCATCCAATGAGATATCCTAGAAGATATTAGATGTGTTATTTCAAAGCAAAATAAATAAATGACTATCAGTTATTTTATTTGTTTCATTTACTTGTAATCAAAGATTAAATCTTAAAAATTATTTCAAGCAGTTATATAACCAATAGAAAGGCCTTTATTGACATTATGGCAGTTTGATTCTTCTCATAAATTTTACTAGCTTTTTGCATATTTTTACAAGTATTGGATGATTTATCTTTGGTGATGATCTAAACACCTTTGAGTCTGGAAGGCCTTCTTCTCATAAACCATAATCCTTTGCTTCCTTCACAGATTCAAATCGGGGTTCTTAGATGGCTTTGATTAATTTTAAACATTACTTTGGATCTACCTCATATTCTTCTTCAAGGATAACAAGTTGTTTCTCCATGTCTATTTTCACTGAAATAAAGAAATTTGTTTTCATCTTTATGCATGTAAAAGAAAAACCTAATGTGCAAATTGATTTAAATTTCTTAAATGTTTAATTGTTCCAGAATGCAGTACTTACTTAGTATGGCTGCATTGTTGGTTTCTTTTCGGAATCTGAACTTTTTCAGTTTTTCTTTCAGACTGTCGTCCACTTCGCACACGACTAAAGAGCTCGACTGCAGATATGTTGCAAAAAAAATGTGTATAATTAGAACTGCAATTCTAACTTTAATAAACATTTTTACCATTCTGACATGTTAAGAGCAGGAAGTGTTATGCTGCATGAGCAGACTTCCTGTTTGAAAGTGGGAGATAAATCTTTGACTTGTGCATTACTGATGAAGTTAGCTGAAAATGTATCCTTTTTTATGTTAATGGATAGAATTTAAACAATTCCTTTAAAAATAAGCTGAAAATAAAAACTAGTCATTGTGTCAGTTGCACATACCATTTTGAAAGGTTCCTGTCCTGTGTTACACCTTCTTGCTGAAACCGTTTGCTACAAATGGCTTCTCTCAGAATGTCAGGAGATCCTCCTTTATTTTGTGAAGAGAGGGCGGGCAGACAGCTAAGTTCTGTGGCAGGACTCTTTCCTCTTTTTACTGACACAAGAGCCCACTATTGCACAAGTACTGCGGTGTGTTGTATATTTCTTTTTTTTTTCTTCTTTTTTTTATAAAATGGAGATTAAAACAACCAAACAACCACAAAACAGAAATATTTTCCAATTTATCAGAGATTTATTTATTCTTTTTTTTTTTCTTTGTTCTCAAATCAGTCACCTTTTCATGCCACAGAGTTGTTTTGAGTTACTTTCACTTCTCAACTCCATGCAGATGATTTTGACGGAACATGTTTTGGTCACATGCCTTACGCCTTCCTTAGCTGGATCTGTTAACCACTCTAATTGATCATGACTCTTTTAAAGTTGCAAACCATTACCAACAAAAGAGTCAATCAGACTAAGAATCTATGGCTAAATGGAAAAACATTATATGTCCCAAAGATTAATTCCAGTACACTTTTGTTCAAAATATCTAAGGTGCAGATCAGCGATTAGGTAGAGTACCCAAAAATGGTACTTAAGTAAGTGTAACACTACTTCATCATATTTTCACTCCAGTAAAAGTAACAAAAAAAAAGGTATTTGGTAAAAAGGCTTCTCAAGTACTGAGTAACTGATCTACTTACTACCCATGATTATAAAAAACGGATAAATATATTTTGAGTTATAAACCTTACAAAATCAATTGTCACAGTATGCAAGATCGTGTTAGGTTACAATATACTGTTCTCTGTATTGTCAATCAAACGCAGAAGATACGGCAGACACGGTATATAGAACTAAATAATAATTTAACCAATAAGCCTCCAGAAAAGAAGAATTTTAATCTCTCAATAGTGCATATTTGTTTAGAACAAGCTTGTTTTTTTTTAGTTAAGTTACTCACAATAGATAGTGTAACCAGAAAGTTTGCTTAAGTAGTAGCAGTGATATTGTATAATATTTTTTAGTCAAGTAAAACTAAAACGTACAATACTGTAAAACTACTCCTAAATGTAAAAATTTTCAGCTGTAACTGAGTAAATTGTACTAGCTACTACCCAGATTAATCTATTATGCTGCAGGTGAAAGAATTGTAATAATTGTGAAACACCTGCTTCCACAGATGGTTATAGAATAGTTATTTTACTTATGATTTGTAATGAAAAGGGGATTTACTATTTTATTACATTTCAACCACTTAAAAGACACAAGTATGCTCCACAAACATCATTTTGCCTATTGTGACTTGCAATGAAGGATACATTTGTTTAATGGTTACAGAAATAAGAAAGTGTGTAGTTTTATTAAATGCAAACAATTTGACAGATCCAATTTTGAGTCAATGGTTTCCCTGACATGATGAATTAAGTAAACTGCACACCGCTTTTTGAAAGAACTGACAAATTTAAATGAAGAAGAGTTAGGGGTCAAGTACCAATTGCTATGGTAATCCCCAGTGTTCCTTTTGTGATCAATTGGCAAACTGAACGTCTCATGGGTTTGTTATTTGGAGTGTAGGACAAGGTGGTCATCAGAAAATTGCACGTTTATTTATAAATATGTAATAAACTTAAACTATGTAAAGTTGTGGAGCTAAAATGTGGAATGAAAAAAGAAACTCTCATAAGTATTCAGTTTTTAAGTGAGCTCTGTTCCCAAGAACAATAAGAGATTGTTGAGAAGCTTTGCACTTCATGAAGTTGGGCATCCACCACTGCCATATGCCCCATCCAATAGTGTAAATATTGGTAAGCAGACACTGCAGTTGCTTAGGGGCCCACGACCTCTTAGGGGCTCCGTCACTGACACCTGGTAGGCCCCCTTCGCAATTATGGACTAAGACGTCTCATTGCAGATGTAATGGTGCGAAAAAAATGCCTCTTAAGATCCACCTGATATTACAGTAACTGATCGAACCTTATTTATACCCCAAGACATGCCAGATTTCAACATGATGGTGAGCCGTTTAAACACGACACCAATAGCAAAGCAGACAGTGGTACTTTTAATTACTATCTTAATAACTGTGTATAGTTCATTAGACGGTTGGTAATAATTACACTCATATAATATGTTTCAAACCGCAACAACGATCTTAAAAGAACGATGTATTTGACTATTTTATTTTTTACACTACGACTTGGAAATATGGGTAATCAAGAGCGTAGATTAAAACCATAACCGTTACGTACAATGTGTTTGTGATGATGGATACCAAAAAGAGGTACTTAAGCGGATTCCAGAAAAGAAAAAGCAAAGAGCTGCTGATGGCTGTTGTACTTCATATGGGGCCCACCCAGATAATGTTGCTTACGGGCCTATTGTTGTGTCATTACGCCATTGCAGTTGGCCATCCACCATTGCCATATGCTCCATCCAATGGCGTAAATATTGGAAAGCAGAGACTGTAGTTGCTTAGGGGCCCTGTTACTGACACCTGGTAGGCCCCCTTCGCAATTATGGACTAGGACGTAATGGTGTAAAAAATTCATCTTAAAATCCACCCGATATTAGGGTGATTGACCAGACCTGATTTATAAACCAAGACATGCCAGATTTCAACATGATGATGAGCCGTTTAAACACAACACCAATAGCAAAGCAGACAGCGGTACTTTTAATTACTATGTTAATAACTGTGTATAATTCATTAGACAATTGTTTCAAACCGTAACAAAGATCTTAAAAGAACGATGTATTTGAGTATTTTATTTTTTTCCTCTATGACTTGGAATTATGGGTAATCGAGAGCGTAGATTAAAACCATAACCGTTATGGACAATGTGTTAGCGACAATGGATACCCAAAAGCGGTACTTAAGCGGATTCCAGAAAAGAAAAAGCAAAGACCTGCTGGAAGAATGGAAAAAAACTTCCCAAAATGGGGGGCGGGTAAGGGTCTGGGTGTTGAACTTCATATGGGGCCCAACCAGATAATATTGTTTAGGGGCTTATTGTTGTTTTGTTACGCCATTGCAGTTGGCCATCCACCATTGCCATATGCTCCATCAGTGAGCCTTGGGAGATGGTCACAAGATCAGGGTTAATTTAAAATCAGCTGAGACCCTAGTGTCTTTAGAACCTTTTTGTCATGTCTTACAAACCTGTTTTGTGAACTCTATTGTGGTGCATTTGGCTATTTTTAACTGATTTACTTATAAATATGTCAATCAACATTAACCTGTTTTATCTGTATATACAGTATCTATAATACACAAGCAAGAAGAATGACTAAATACAAAAGAATGCTTTAGTAGGAGTTCAGAGGGCAGCAGGCCAGACCAAAAACTTGGTATCAGTGACGATTAAATTCCTCCAAGGTTTAGTTAGGTGAACGACTGTCACCAACATAAGCCTTTGAAGGTTATCTGATTTCTGTGGGGGTATTTTTGACAACCTACAAACGAGACAACCGTCAAGGAAGCTTTGAAATGTCTGGAACAGTTGGGTGGAAAACTAGCTTACGTACGTGAAAACGTGTGACGTTTTGCTTACGTCTTACGTCAACTCAAAAATCGAAGTGGATTTCTCCAGGCGTACACTCCTTGTTTTCTGTATCCCAACTAGCATTTCTGTTCATACGCCTGTTCAGAAATGTTACGGTTAAAACAACCATCGCTCGTAGCTGTCAATGACGGCTCTTAGCGTTTTACAACGCGGGGGAACAGAAAACCAGCGTTTCTGCCAGCTAAGCTAACGTAACTGCAACCGTTAGCAGAACTATTCCTACTCCTCTGTCGAGCTAGCTGTGGATTAGCACTTTAGCCTAGCTTGCTAACCAAGCACATCTGAGAAAGGTAAACATTTATTTTTAAATCCCATAAGGTATAATTAACAGTTCGTGTATATTTGTAATGTTATTAGACCTTTGCCTTCTCTTAGAGAGAAAATGCGTTTCATCAGACGGTTTTCGTGGCAAACTCTTTAAGTACAAACGGAGAAAATGTTTAGGAGCAGCGTCAACGCAAAACAATACACATCCCGAATCCCTCACCAGAGACTCGGCCGACCAGGCTAACTGCAGTTTACCGCTATTTATGAATGTTCAGCTGCACAGAGTTATGATTTTCAATGTATGTCACTTTTAAAATCACTAATCAAACACACACTGTTGGTAAGTTATATTCAGTATAGGATACAACGCTTAGTTTTTCACAGCCTGGTATAATGCTAAGAGAAGCCATTTGCCGTGATGAGAGTTAGCTCGTTTGACATTTACTTAAATCTCTCATTCCCTTTGCTGTGGAGGATGGATTTTCTTTTCGACTTTAGGGAAACTATAATAAGCCTAATTATTTGTTTGACTGAATGTTTTAAATTGATGCTTAGTTTATGTTTTTCTGTTAATATATTCATAATATGTTGCCCAGCAGCATCGGTTTCTCTTGTTTCTCTATTCCCTACATTTGTTTTCAATTCAATTCAGTTTATTCATATAGCTCCAATTCACAACACATGTCATCTCAAGGCACTTTACAGATCACAAGATCATACAGTCAAATTGAAAGTTTTCTAAGGAAAACCAGTTGATTGCTTTGAGTCATTGACTCTGAGGCAATCCCTCACACTAAGCATGGTCAGAACATGAAGGTTTATTTGCACATAGTTAGGAAACTGCTTTTGATAAAGTATCTCTTGTCTTGAACGCTTCTACTAATGTTGCTTTCTTTGTCGCTACCCTTGTTTGATTTGCATATTATTTTAAAATTCTCTTTCACTTAATTTTTTAAAAACTATTTTATCATTGTTTTTTTTTTTTTTTTTTTTTGATTTTATAGGGAATAAACCTCAGTGGCTAGCATTTTATGTCCCATGTATTTTTCAAGATTCTGTTATGCCACAAACAACAAACTTAAATGTATTTGTTGTGAAGAGGCAACACAGAATAACTCGGAAGTAGAGAGGAACGGATTTTCAACTTTTCAGACATTTCTACAAATGAGAATTTGTTAAGTGTGTGTGTGTGTCTGAATTGAGTTTTACATTATCAGTAAGTTGATAAGTCCCTTGTGGAAGTAGTTACAGTTGCAACCTTTTCTAGCATTGCTGTAAATGCTTTTATCAGTTTTCATTTTTTTGCTTCTCTTCTATGCAAAGATGAAAAATAGTTCTTCACAGCTTTTAGGCTCTGCATCTGATTTTTTAAAAATTGGATATCAGTCTTTCTAAGTGGGTGTACTTATGACTGGGCTGTTCTAAAGCACACATATGCTTTTATCTGAACCAATTCTATCACAGCCTTAGTAGTTTGTTTTGGGTCGCTGTTCTGTTAGTAGGTATATCCCCACTTCCCTGTCCTGTGTCTGACTTCATCCATTCTGCAATGAACTTAGAAAAGCTTCCCCGTCAGACACAAATGTCTTCAGAGTATAATGCTTCCACCACATTTTCCATCTGTGGAAGGTGTGTTCCTTCTACTCATCGAAGAAAGACAGATTGGCCAAATGCTTTGCATGCACCCCTATCTAAACTATGGTTGATGATGTCTTTTACAGCATTTAGGTCTTTGACTTTTCCTCCTGGATTATATAACTTCATCTATCCTCCCTTTTATCTTTACAAGCTTTCCTATTCTTACTACAGTTAAGCATACCTTTAATATGACACTGCTAGCATCCTCCTTGCATGATGAGAAATTATAAACTGCCACATAGTGCAATAGATCGAACAAAACGTCAAGTGATATTTCAATATCTATTAAATAATATCCCAATAATGTTAAACTTGTTCCAGGAGGCTATCTTGTCCTATGCGGTATTTGGGCTGAATAGAAATAAACCCTGTCCTTATTCACATTTATGTGTTGAATCCCAGTTAGATACATTGAAGTTGTTGGATCTAATGCGACGGATTGTTTAGGAGTACTTAAGTAAAGCGCTGTATGTTAATAACAATGGCAGTGGGTTAACATGAATACGCAGCATTTGGAGAAATGTTTTTAATTTTTGTTTGCTGCTTCAACAGGGAACAGATGATGTGAAATAAAAGAGCGCCGTTGGGAGCCATTACCGATTCTGGCTGACACCCAGTGAACATAAGACATCTTCCTACAGATCCAGACAGCATTCCTGTCTGTTGCTCATCCAGCACCTGAACCATGTGAGGACCCCTCGGTCTGATCTGAGGGGATCCCTGGACTGTTGAAACAAGGACCCCGCTGTGCGGGGAAGGACTCATCCTGTCTCTGTGTGACAGAGCAGCAAAACTACCAACTCCCCATCTAAACATTCCCATTTTCCCTACCAAGGGGACACGCCATGATGTTCCGAGATCAGGTGGGTATCCTCACAGATTGGTTCAAAGGCTGGAATGAGTGTGAACAGACGGTGGCACTCTTGTCACTTCTGAAGAGGGTGTCCCGCACCCAGGCTCGTTTTCTCCACATCTGCCTTGAACATTGGCTGGCAGACTGCACTGAGATCCACATCCTTGAAGCTGAGGCCAACAATGCAGGTAAGTAAAGCTTGCTGTTTATTATTTAAAAGTAGGCAATAAGACACATTATTTTAACTAAAAAACCACTGATTTGTTTTGAATTTTATTAGCAACTGTCAGCCAGTGGCATCAGGAGCCAAAGGAAAAGGTGGTTTCCTTGCTGTTGTCCCACTTGCCCCTGCTGCAGCCACGTAACTGTGAGGCCAAATGTGAGTACATGAAGCTGCTGCAGAAGGTGTTAACCCACACGATTGAGAGTAGCCTTTTTGTGGAAGAAAGCAGGCAACTGCTCTCCTATGCACTCATCCACCCTGCCACCACCCTGGATGATCGCACCTCACTTGCCTCCTGGCTAAATCACCTGGAGGAACACCTCTCTAGCGGTTATGCATCTCGGGCACCTCCGAGCCCTTACCACCCACGCCAGGGCTCAGATGAATGGCCCAGCTCTGCTGAGGTTCTTGACCCAGGCAATGCATGGTCAGACAAGTCCCCTTCATCTAGCACATCTCCTGCCGGCCAGAATGGACACATGCCTTTTCCAGGCGGGATGTCCTCTCCAGTTAACAGCAATAACACAGGTAATGGTACGTTTTTACTTCTCAATTTGGGAGCTTCTTAGCCACCAGCTCTTTTATTAAAGATATTTTGGTCATACATGGATTGCTCCCTTGGCAGGTATGGTTGGGCAAATCCAGCCAAGCCCTCTGAAGAAGCCCATGCAGGGGATTCCCTCTAACTCCCAGGCTTGTGGTTCAGAGTGGGGCAGCCAGGATGACACAGGGGGGCGGCAGAACTTCATCTCCACAGATCATGCACCCCTTTCACCTCAGAGCAGCATAGCATCTTCAGGCAGTGAGCAGACAGAAGAGCAGGGCTCCGCTCGCAACACTTTCCTGGAGGATGGCAGCGGCATGAAAGGTCAGAGTTAATTAAATAACAAAGCCCTCAGGTGGCTCTGGTAAAATTAATCTGCTGTTGGTTCACTATAATACAGCCTTACTTTACTGGTGCTATAAAATGTGGTGTACTTTGTTATGCCGTATCAATTTCCCCTTATCTGCATTTAGAAATTGTAAATTCTAAAATTAGATCTGTTACAAAAATGATGTTGTAGCGCGTTTGACTGTATAACTGATGAGTCGTTGTCGTACCTTTTTCTCTTTAGTATTTGTACCAATAATTTAAAACATCCTGTGTGTGTTTATCTATGCATAATAGTTTACAAAAGATAATCAGCAGATATGTAAATGCATTCCGTGCTTTGCTTAAAACCATTAGATTTTCATTAAGATTGGGTTTTCATAAGGTTATAGAGAACGATTTAAATGATTATCACTCAGAACTGTAACATTTTCTTATGTTTTAAAAATAGTGTATATATCTGAGTTCTATATTGTGTAAGAACACACACATTTTTTTTCTATAAGTGAGTGTTTGATAATTTTTTTTACAGTTAAATAGTTAAAATATAGTTTTGTGCAGCTTTTTTAAAAGATTCAGAATATTCTCAAACATTAGTCTTTTATGTTATCTTGATACAAAGAAAAAAAAAATCCAGATTTTAAGAATATGGCAGCTTATCAATTGATCAATAGTCGATCAATAAAATTAAGCAACTTTACTTTGTTATCGATTAATAAATGTTACCACTAAGTCTTATAATATATACAGAAAGAATCCAAGTTCTATAACAACAGTTTTAGAGTCTCTTTACTCCAGTTAATGATTAATCGATTACTAAATTAGTTGAGGATTATTTCAATAATCGATTAATTGTTTCAGCCTTACTCTGAACCCTTTCATATCTACTGATTCAGGATTGCGATTTCCAGCCCTGTGTTCAAATAAGCAGCACCTTGATTTTGAAAAATGAAAAGTTTTAGAATTTGTGTGGAATACACTGTTTTATTTAGCACCTTTTTAGATGATAACTTTTTAATACCAGCTCAAGCTCTAATTAATTGAACTGCCTCTGTAAAGCCACTGTGTCTCATTCTTAGAATGACTTGGTGTTATTTTAGCGTCTGTGATACATTCCACAAAGTGAAAAGTTTGGCTTGGCTTAGCTTAGGTCTTATTAAACTCAGAATTAAAAGGTTAATGTTTTTTAATCACCTCACATTCCTTGTTTATGAGATCTGTCCCTTGTGTTGTAGATGTTCCTGCGTGGTTAAAGAGCCTCCGTCTTCATAAATATGCATCCCTATTCTCTCAGATGACCTATGAGGAGATGATGATACTCACGGAGCAACATCTAGAATCTCAGGTGTTTCCATTTGTTTGGTTACCTTCCCTGCTTTCAAAGTGTGATTTCTGTAGCCTTCAAACTTGATGATACATCAGCTCTCAATGAGGCATGAAATTAAACAATCCACCCTATGGTTATATTGAGCCACTCACGCATTATACAATTGGTAGGATGTTTTTCCCCTTCCTGCTTGCCTGTATTGAAACAGATGGTGATTAGGTTTATTTAGTGCCTGTAAAAATTGCTCACTGTACCCTCAAGACATGGCTTCTCACACCATTTTGTCATTTTTCATCTGGCTTTTTCAGAATGTCACTAAAGGAGCCCGACACAAGATTGCGTTGAGTATCCAAAAGCTGCGAGAGAGACAAGGTGTTCTCAAGTCTTTAGAAAAGGTGATTATGGTTTCTCTGTAGCTGAAAAAGGCAATAAACATTCCCTTTTGGGATTATATCATGAAAGTTTGTTTAGCTCTGTTGTATCTCACAACTATAGGAAATTATTGAAGCACATTGTTGTAACAGTTAAGTTTTTCTACAAGGTTTCATATTAAACCACTTTCATTTTACAGAAAAGTTAAACCTTTAGGCCAACATGTGCATTATTCTGAATGAGTTATCTCTGCATTGTGTGATACTGGTGCTCACATCTCCCGGCAGGATATTTTGGAGGGGGGGAACCTGCGAAATGCCCTCCAGGAGCTTCAGCAGATCATTATTACACCCATCAAGGCCTACAGTCCACCCAGCGCTGCACAGGCTGTCTCAGATGCCTCCAATTCCTCCACAGAAGGCACAAAAACAGAAGCAGATAAAGAGCCAACATCGGAGGATTTTCAGTCTCACAACCAACCCCCCTGTGACGGAGACTCTGCAGTCACACCTGTTTCAGATGGGGACATTGCAGGACAGTTTACACGCGTCATGGGAAAAGGTACATTTATAAGCATTTCAATTTTAGCATGTAGCTAATTTAAACTAAAACTGTTTCTAAACGGAAACAGAAATCTGTTAAACTCCTCTTTGTAAGATACATTTTTGCAACTTTAATACAATCCCAAACCCTGAAGGCTGTAAGCACAGTTAAAAATAGAAGAAGAAAAAAAATCCAGCTAGCTTATCTTTTTTTTATGTTTTGTCATCAGTCTCATTATACCTGCTCATACCTATTCATAATGTTTTGTAAAAAGATTTATTTCCCTTAAAACCGTTTTGTCATGTCCCCTGAATATATTTAATTGAGATTTTATATGATGGAGAAAGATAAGCTTTGAATAACTCTGAAATGGAAGCTAAATTAAACAGCTTTTCATTATTTTATAAAAAACAAACTGTCAATAGTTTTGTAATGCTTAATAATTTGCCAGTGGTTTCTAAAACCACATTTCAGTCTAAAATCAGCTGCAAATCTTGTGGGTTTGTCTCTACAAAACCAGATTAAGACAATAAAGACATATTTAGCCCTTTTTTTCTTCAGACAGGTCAAGCACAGACAGATTGGAATTAGTTCATCTGATGAACTGCATTCTTTTAGGTTCAAACAACCAAATTTCTTTTAATTGGATTTAGTTCTGTACCTTGACTGTGTCATTCTAACTCATATTGCATTTACTCAAACATTTTTATGGTCATTTACCTCCTTGAAGATGTTTTTTAGTCTGTGGTTTTCACAGTGGATTCAGTGTTTTTTCAATGAATTTGTTGCTGATGAGTTAATGGTGGGGGATATAAGGGGTCATGCACAACTAGGGCTGCAACTAACGATTATTTTGAAAATCGATGAATCGGACGATTATTTTTTCGATTAATCGATGAATCGGACACAAAATATTTTTTTTATATTAACCTCTTTAATCCAAAATAAACATTCTAGACAGAACAAACAAGCACACAAGTACAGGTTGCTCATTAACTGTACTGGTGCAATATGAAAAATAAATGTTTGTGTTAAAACTACGCAAACTTACATGAGAAATGTAGCTGTACATCCACAAAATATAGGGTACTTTGTTTCATAAAGCGCAAAAAGAGACAGGCATTTTTGTTTTTTAAAGCCCCTAAGGGGCTCAAACAATAGGCCCCCCCATTTCAACAAATGAGGTTTTTTTAGACTAGAAGAGTTCTGCCTTTTAAGACAGGAAAGTATAGCAGTTAAAGATGCTACTTGAGAAAATACTGAACCATAGAAATAAAAATAGCCCTGTGATTCAAATTATAAATTGTATTTGGAATAAAAATGAGAGAACTAGGGGTGCTAAAAAACACATCCTCCAAAGACAGATATTTACATGGGAATGTGGCAAATATAATTATTTGACATATTACTGATCTTGCTGGATTTTATTCTGCTTTACTTCCATAAATTGCAGGATCTTCTTTACTTTCTTTGCCAGAAGATTTAAACTTTAAAAGCCTTGCCCTCATAATTTGCAAATTAATTTATTTATAAAGAAAATATAAACGCTGCTTAAGCTAATTCAAATGAAATTAAAAGTAAAATAAGAAGCCAACCTTATCACTGTCTGTAACCTACTAACAAGCTAAGGAAAGCATCAGATGAGCTACCTGAGAAACTAACTTACGTTTCCCCACTTTAAAACCAAACAAACATGGTTACTCATCCTGCTGATCAGCTCTCTTCACTGCCATTGAAGGCTCCAACGTGTTTTCTTTTCAGGTGCTGCGTCATAACAGTGGTGCTTCCGTGCCATGCTCATTTGTTTTTTACAAAAGTTGCATGTTACGACTTTTTTCACTTTACAAAGCGCAGGCTATTTTAATTATTGTGATCAATTTGCGCCGTCAATCCCAGGGGCATGCGCGCTTCATTTGCAGTCTGGACGCTGAGGGTAAACTCCTCACTAAAATCCCGCGGCTCGGACTGCAGCGCTGAGAGGGATTCTTGTGGGAGAGGGAGAACGGGGTTGGGATGGGGGAGGTGCCCCACAGCAGCAGCTGCCGCTGGAGGACAAGAGCAGGAACGATACATGCTTTCACGTAAGAGTCTCCAAAAGCCGCCAGTGACACCGTAAAAAGTCGCCAGATTTGTCGCTAGTCGCTTTTTTAAAAAATAGTCGCTGGAGGGGTCTAAAAAGTCGCTGAGTTGGCAACACAACTGCGGCGCTGACTCGCTCCGCCATATTTTTTTTTCTTCCCCGGGATGACGGCGGCGGCGGATGACGCATTAATCGCGCGACACAACTAATCGATGATTAAATTCGTTGCCAACGCTTTTAAAAGTCGATTTTTATCGATTTTATCGATTCGTTGTTGCAGCCCTATGCACAACTGTGTCAAAACTATAAAATTACCTATATCACTGTGGTTAAAATGCAACAAATGTTAACTTCATTTTATGAAAAAAGGTATCCATATTTATACAGTACCTGAATCAACACTGCATACATCAAATCAGAAATACCCACATAATGAGAACGAGTAAATAAGTAATCAGGTTAATATTTTAGCAGAAACAGTTTCAGAGGAAAAAAAGAGACTATATTAAAAATGATATTTTGAATTATATTTATGTCCAGCTTTGTTATCCAGGACAGAACCTTCGGCAGCTTGGCAGATCTTTTATACATTAGCTTTGAGGATGAGGCAGCTTTCTGTAAGACAGGGAACCAGGAGGAGACTAATGACAGTAACAGACAATTACAACAATTGTTTTCACATAAAGTCACTAAACTTAAAACACTGACAGAGGTCGCTACTTGGTCTGTAATTGTTTTTTGGGGGAAAAAATTGCTAGAGGTTTTGGTACTGACATGAAATCTCAGATGGTAACTTCTTAAGGCAGGTGGTTCTACTGAAATTCTTTATATACAGAGTAGCAGAGTAATGCAGGGCCACATACAAAGTTATGCCACACTGCCACATCCACCCACCCCCCTCTGAACAATTATCTGCTGCTTTTCATGTGCATTTTTCTTAGTTACTATTACCTTTTTTTATTTAAAGTTATAAATCCCAAGTTAGAAACTTTCAATACTGCATTGGCCTCGTATATCTTTGTGTATTTACCATTGGTCATATAAATTGTTGTTTTGATATTTCAGTATGCACCCAGCTGCTGGTTTCAAGGCCAGATGAGGAAAACATTAGTTGTTACCTTCAACTTATTGAAAAATGTCTCGCACACGAGGTGAGAAGTTTTCTACCTTTTTTTTTTTTTTTCTCAAACTTTTGAATTTATGCACGTTGTCTCAGTTCAGTTTTGTTTTGTCATCAGGCATTCACAGAAACTCACAAGAAAAGGCTGGTCACCTGGAAGCAACAGGTTCTTAAGCTGCTGCGCCTCTTCCCTCGGAAAACTATGCCTGACATGTCGGCTTACCGACAGAAAGGGTGAGACTTCGGGCCATTACCTTCGAACTTCTGTTAAACAGCAAAACATGTCACATTGTCTTAATATAACCTTTTCGCTTGATTCGTCTTTCCTATTGGTTATCTCTTTTACTTCGCTGTCATTTCATTTGAGCTAGCTGTAGCAACAGACAGATCTTTTTATTTCTAATCTATTCTCATTTATGGTTATGTGGTTTCAGCTGGAACTATGGGTCAAACTCCCTCCCCACAGCAGGCTCTGTGAGTGGAGGTGTAAGCCGAAGGGGCCAGAGGCAGTTCCAGATGACCCCTCGAGGACTCCCAGCTGGGCGCATGTGTCTTCCTGGTGGGATCGGTGGAGCATCTCCACGCCACACGCTCACTAATCCTGCATTAGCAGGGCAGGGTAGACAAGTCAGTATTGCTATATTGCTACCGCTTAATAAAACCAGGTCTGTTGTTGTTGATAGTGATATGAAAACGCGTTGCAGAACGATGTAACCCTATTAAAATTCATCTGTTTTGTCAAGTGAAAGTCATAAACTTGGTATTCTTGGTATTAGGGATAGTGTTTTTTTAAGTCTATTGTCCATATCGATTTATTTTTTATTTTTTTCGCCGATATGTGTAGCTGGTTATTTTTTTACATTAAGGTATTTTTGGAGCAGATTCTTGAAGCCGTTATAATTTTTCTTTATTTAATGTTAAAAATGACAGAGTGTTACAAGTATTATACCTGTCTCAATTTAAACACAAAAGAAATATTTATTTACAAATCAAAGAAAACATTAGTGGGTAGCAAACGGAGGGAGCAGCAATGCATGTACTGGATGGACTAATAAATTAGCAAGGCAAGCACGTGTCAGCCAAGGCCAAAGGATAAAAGATATCGGCCAGCTGGGGTAACAGCACATACGATATCACTGCTTGGTATCTTATGTGTGTAATTGGAAGACACTTTCTATACCATAAGTAATATTTTCCTCAGATGAAATTGTTTTAAATTGTAAATGGCCTGTACTCACCCATTCATATGCATACTGATGGTGGCAAGCTACATTGTAGCCACAGCTGCCCTGTTGCTCACTGACAGAAGTGAGGCTGCATTACACTGGCGCAGCAAGGCCCTCTGACCACCATCGTTAGGCAATACAGATGAGTAGGACACGACATTGATAGCCAGAGCCTGGGATTGAACCCTGAACCCTTCGATTGCATATCCCTACATCCGACGACTTTCACCCCTAACCCAATCTAGTTTTAAATTCACTGAATCCTAATCACTCACCAGATTGGTATGGACCTCTTAATGCTGCTGGAGCACCGGGAACCTCTAATATCCTTTACGACCTGTACTCTGTTAATTGACTTCAGAAGGTTGGCAGATGCACTGGAATAGTTTGTTATATCTGGATGGAGGATGCTGGATAAGAGGTTTTATATTCTTATTTTAAAACATGTTCCAAGCAACAATTAGGCATAGGTATTAGTTGAGTATTATTCATTATTGTGAAATAATTTTGGAAAGTTCATTGCTTATGTGTAAAAAGACATAACACCTGTTGTAAAAAAAAATCATTAATAAATACTGTTAAAGAAAATAAACTGTGTACACGGCATCGGATTTGAACCAAGTATTAGCTTAGTTTGAGGAATATTAAAGGACTTTTCTGATCAATCTGCTCCCGTCAGTGCATCTCAGTGTTCCAGATGGGCCGCCCTTCTCATAAACATGTCTGTTTAACTTAAGACGGATGGGTCTGTTGCTAAATGGGTCATGTGACCTAAAGTGTTGCTTGATAGCAGCATGAGCTCCCCTGAAAGTTTGTTTAGTAACAAAACAGATATGACACTTACCTGATCAGATATATCTTTGGTTCTCTGATGTAGGATTTAATTGAGGGGGATGTCTTTACAAGTGAGTTCATCATGTGCTGATCCAATGGGCCTGCTGTTAGAATCCTAAACGAAAAGGGAAAATGTTTAGCATGCAACAGTGCAGTGCTACAAGTGGCCTTGCGCTGTGCTTAATTTGGAGGTTGTAGGACCTGTAACCTCCAAGCTTAGCATCCACTAGGGACACTTTACCTATACAGGTATAGCGTCCCCAGTGGATGAAACACTTGCCTTAGAACTAAACGTATATTTTAAGAAACATAAGCGTATATCATTTTCAGTTTACCTTTGTTTTCTTCGCTTTAGTTAAATTTTCCCTTAAATCGGAAGATTTATTTTACAGCTGCAAAGTTTGGAAGAGCATGTCCACTAGTACCGGTATAAATAAGATTGATTTCTCATTGTGTCCTTTTCTCCACAGAGCCTGTGGTTTGCCAACCCTGGGGGCAGTAACAGTATGCCAAGTCAGAGTCGCAGCTCTGTGCAGCGGACCCATTCGCTGCCTGTTCATACTTCTCCACAAACCATGCTGATGTTCCAGCAGCAAGGTATAGTACAAGGTCTAGTGTGTTTCTATTGGTTTATTTTTATGCTCATGTTGTTGCACCTTCAAGCTATGGTTCTTATTTAAATGCTAATAAACTGTACACTTTTGATCAATGTGGACCTTAGATAGTATTTAACATTACGCATTGTTTCAGGTAAATATTTTTTCAAGCTATAACTTATAAAAGTTCATATTTGGTTTAGGGCTGAAACAATTAATCGGATTAATTGTGATTAATTGATTATTGAAATAATTGTCAACTAATTTAGTTATCAGTTTATCGTTGAATATAGTATAGACTGTGAAACACGCCTTTAGCTGACAGGGCAACCCACTTAGAGCAGGAATCATATCAAGAGTGTAAAAATATATGGATTAATGTAATTTGTATTAAATAAAAAATACAAAAAAGAAAACTGCATCTCACCTTATCTAACATAATGGGATATTTGCAGGTGATTGTACAAACAACTTATTTTTATATAGGTGGAGTTGTGGTAACTTTGTGTGACTCAGTATAACTATTTCATATTTGTTAATAAACACAGCTGTTTGTTGCATTTAGTGTGCTTCAAAGCATGCATAAAAAAGAGACAAAACATAAATGGGGATCGTAAATATTTATAAAATCTAAAATAAATTTGTGTTTTCTTTAGAATGCCAAGTTCCAGGTTCTGACCTGGAGATCAACCCCACGCTGGAGTCACTGTGCCTCAGTATGACGGAGCATGCCTTAGGGGGTAAGTGCCTCACTGGCATCTAGCTACCAGTCCGACTTGTTGGGAAACCACACACATTCTTCTACCTAAAGAATACCAGCTTGTCTCTAGTGAGAACATGAGTTTCCTCTGTTCAAATAGGGATTTTATATTTCATCTTTTTGAATGGTTGTAAAATGGGAATCAGCCAGTGTAAAGTTGTCATGTTTTTTTTCTTTTTTTCAAATCGGCTCTAATTAATTGTTTATAAAATTTTACATTAAAACATTATTTTTTTTTACCATCAACAGAGGCTTGTTTTTTATTATCCACATAAAGGAAACATCTACATGTCACTTTTACCTGGTTTTTAGGACAACATCTACCATTCTCCTAATTGTTATATTTAGTAACCAGTCATTACCTTCTTTTTTGCCACATTCAGAAAGCCATAATGAATGTTGTCTTTTCTGAATTTGACCAATTTGTAATGTTTACATTGGTAATGCCTCCTGCCAAACTATGCTAATAGAATTTGGTCACACATTTAAAAAATTTGGCCAAAGCAGTAGGAGATCTGTTGATTCTGGAACTTAAGCAGAGCTTTAGTAGAAGGCAGCTCAGATCTGGGCACTGCATTGTGTTGATTTTTTATGTCCATAAAATAATCATTGTCATCAATCACCTGATTCTCTCTTACAAAAACATTATTTTAATGTTGACTTTAGAGACTAAATGCATAGAGGAAATAAAAAGTTCTCACTCCCAGACTCTCTAGATGTATTGCTTTTATTAAAGCACACATAAGCAAATCCCTTTATGCATCATGTGGGCTTTTTTTTATTATTTTTATTTGTATTCTTTCAATGTTCTCTTGTTTTCTTCACAGATGGAACTGACCGGACATCAACAATATGAAGAAAGGAAATAGACACTTCATTTGAGGCCTGCTCAGTTCAGCACAAAGATAGATGTATGCTCCAAAAGCCCAGGCAACGCAGTCACTACAATATGACAAAAAACTGTGTATATGTTCTCTAATATTTTTGTACTTTATTATATACAACTAAGTTTATTAAAATGGAGTACAGATGACTATTATATTGTAGAACAGAGGTTAACTGTGTCAGCTGTGCCATGCCACCTGCAGCAGGACTGTGGCATGGTGTGCAGCGGTTCAGTTTACCATGATATAAAAAAAAAGAAGTGGATTGGTGCTGTCATAAAGGGTTCTTCCCTGAATTTGCTCTTCTTCTCTTGCTACCTTTGATCAAGGTTTTCTATCTACAACACACTGACAACCCCTTCACCACACACTCTAGGTTCTGAAAATGTCCAGCCACAAGTAAGGCACTTTTATTGACTTTGATATTAGGCACTAAATGTAACTGGCCCTGGTGGTAAAAACTCTGAGGTTTTCCCTGGACATCGGTAATAACCTGATTCCATAGGATGCTCTAGTCAGGGCTTTGAATTAAGGCAGATGTTTACTTTAGTTCACTCTAATGTTTTTCTTTTTTGAAAAAGGAAAAGAGAGGACCAAAAGAAATCAGAAATAGTTTGTATTTAAACTTTTGGACATACCCTTTTTTTTCCTTTGTTGTTTTACTTTGACATTTAAAGTTAAAGTGATTGTCCTCTAAGCATCTACAAAACCAAAGACAAGGGTTGTTTGTTTGTTGCTTCGAGAAAGATATTTGTAGTGAGTTGGAGCAGAATAAAACAAAAACAAAAAAATGCAGTGCGAAACATTATTGCCAGCACAAATTTGTCTCTTATTTTAATGTCCTCCTTATTAAATGATGATGAATCTCATTTTTGGTCAGGGACTCCCCCTAGGGGGCGGGGGGGTTAGTAAGAGCTAGTGAGGTTTGTTCTGTGCAGGAGCTAATTAGATATTGAATTGATAAAAGCACTGAGGCCATATTGTTTTCAAATAACCACCATAATGCTGGCCAGAGCTAGATAAATGAGAAAGGTCTCAGCCCTCTGGTTCTTTAGCTTTGGCTTTTGAAAATGAAAACAAGCTTAATCTTTTACAGAAATGCAAAAGAGCACGGCACCTAAACCTCACAACGCCCTTGTCCTTAAAAAAGGCCATTGTGATGATTTGATGAATCATTCTTATTCAAGGTGCTTGACGATGTCCATATTTTCTGTTTGTGTCTGTGTTTCAAGCTCAGAGCTCCACCATTATCATCTGGTATCAGTGTTGAACCATGAACTGTCTTTTAACAGCCTCTGTCTATGAATGTGACAGAGCCAGAGGTGCATGTCTGTGTGATTATGGTCTTTTGGATCACTTTTGGTTGCTTCATAAAGCAGGGATAACCATATATTATTTCAGCAGAGCCATAGGAGGTCTGTCTAGTAAAGATGGTTATTTACAGATATCTTTTCCAATTGTATTTCTATTCTCCCTTGATATTGATAACTTATGCTTATTTTCTGTAATTGCATGTTTTGCCACACTAATACAGCACTGTTGTAGATAGAGGACATGATGGCTTACGGTGTCAGGTGTCACCAACAGCTAGAAACCAGTCATCTTGCAACAAATGTATGTTTCATATCGCCTAGATGTCACTGTTTACACATTTCTGGGATAATCCCTGATTCATAATATTTGATGTCATGAGTAAAATATTGTCTTGCATCGTAATGCATAAAAGAACTAAAGCCCTCTCGTACTCTGAGATAGGTGGGTCTAAAAGAAAAAAAAACATCCTCTCACGCAGATCTGTGAATTAAAATGGCACTCAAGATTTTCCAGATTATGCTTTACAAACAGCTGCTCTGGCCATGTGATTAAACTGTTAGCTGTCATGTCCTGGTAAACTGTTCATGTGGTGCCTAAAGTGCAAAACTGCAGCACTCGAAAACATTTATTTTAAAAGTGGTTGCATTTTAGTCATGGATTTCTTCAGAGCAGGCTCTTGGATGGATCTGACTTAGTAAAAATCATTAGACTCCCTGTTAGAAAGAACTCCAGTGTGTGAAAAATGCAGGCTTTGTAAGACAGTCTTGTTTTTAACAGTCTTCATTAACTGTGTTGTTACAAATGGCTCAGATTATCCTTTTCATAGCCTCTGTTGCTTTCTAAAGCCTATTTATTGCTTTTAATGGACACAGAGGTACAATTCAGTTTTCTGCAAGTGTGTGTTAATGATGCTGATGCAGCAGGGGATGACGATGCTTATCTGAGCCAAATGTTGAAAGTAAACGGAACACTATCGACAGGCCAAGGAAAACGTTTACTTCATGTTTACATTCCAGCGATTCAAGAAATGAGCTGGGAATGCATTTCATGAATTTAGCCTGGTTTATATAAACATGTTAGGATTCAAAATAAGAGGTACAGAGCCTGTGTCATATGGAGACATCTACCAAGTGTTGCCCAGGATTTATAATAGTTCAATTCTGCAGCCAGCTGTAGGTTAAACTGCGCATATTTGTCTTGTACAATTTATATTTAATTATGAATTACTTTTCCCCAGACATTTTCTAATGTTTTGTGAACTTTTTGCATCACATGCTTTGTTCTACTTTTTTACTGTCATGTGTGTGAATGGTCTGAAGTGCAACATCTGTCAGATCAAGACAGTCCAAATAAAGAGGTTCAGTTCTTTTGCAACTAAACATTTTTCTGTCCACTTCCTGATTGACTTTTTTTTTTTTTTTTTACATTAAATATGAATTTTATTACTGAACATAAAAATGGTTTCCTTATTTGCTTTTACTTCAGAAATCCGTCTCAATCGCTTGTAGCTTTCACTTCCGGGTCAAACGTTTTTCCTCCTCCCACGGATGCTAATCAGGCTAACAGCGGCCAGCTACATTTTTTTTATGTCCTTTAACGGGGAGAGACATTCAGCTTTTCATGGAAACTTTATTACAACTGCTTACGGTGCGTATATTTTTTTGTGTGGCGTCGATTAAATTTAAAGTTTACACGTATTCACTTTATTAACCAAGTCGTTTCATCCCTGGACTCAAAAGAAGCAAAGTTAGCAGAGAACTAGCTGCTAAGCTAACTCTTCTTTTACAGAGCCTACCAGCTGACTTGGTTTAGCTTCTATGCTAACGTAGCATAAAAACATATTGATATCTTCACCCGTATTTATTTTCGGGAAGACGAAGCTACTTTTTGAAAATGAGAATAAAAAAAAATAAATAACGGAAATATGAACGTAATGAGATGAAGTTATATTCCACTTTCTTCGAAGAAATTAGAATATCTTAATGGGATTTGAGGAGACAGAACCTTAGTTTTTAAACAAAAGAAGGCAAAGATAAAAATTAAGATGTTTGCCATTAAACAAACAAACTGTTTGAACGAAACATCTGCATTAGGGTGGAAGTTTAAAATTTCTTTTGTACTTTACGTTAATTTACATCATGGATCACTCTGATATATCTTTATGCTTGTCAGTAGGATGCGATAAGGAAGGAAAATAGTTGCTCTGGCCACGTGATTAAAACTGTTAACTGTCACGTCCTGGTATGTCCCATTGTCCTGGAGTATAAAGAAAACACCCTGCACAGATCAATTTATTTGACCATTATGGTTAGGAGAGCAAAAAAAAAAAAAAAAAAAAAAAAAAAATCTAAGTGGCACTTTCCAGCCCTCAAAGGCTGTAACAATCTATAATTCAGTTGGTATTTAAGGATTTAAGTTTCCAAGATGATAGAACATGGCTAAAGAGAAACAAAAAACAAGGTGTTAATTTTTGTACCATATTTGATGGGTTAATTTCTTTCCTTAATTTGTGTCTGTTTTGGTTGTGTTTCTTCAAATTCAGCATTTTATCATCCAGTTTTTGTCAAATTTGGCTTTCCAACAGGGGCTGGCTCAAACTGGGAGCTTCATTTGGAAAGGTCTTTTTTCCGGATCAAACATGCAAAATAAAACCAATGCTTTATTGGCAGTACAAAAACACTTGTTTTGGAAAGTTAAACTATATGCAAGTATGTTTTTAATGATAGAAATAAAAACTACTTTTGGTTTGTGAAAGTTTACTGACCAAGCAGCATCTTAGAAAAATCAGACAAAATATTATATTAATATTAAGGAAGGAAACCACCACTATATCCTGAAATACAAGCTCGATCGAAACATTTTAGAGTTGTTGAGTAGTCGGTCAATCGAACGGCCCACATTTCCAATCAGCATTACAAAATGGTGTGCAATATTTTGTCATGAATAACTGAATCACTAAAATATTATACAGAATAATTTCACAAGTAAAACCTTAACATGACATGACACTTGATTGGCAACTACTTAAAGGCTAAAAAACATTTTTTTTAAATTGCATGTGAATGTTGACATGAAGGGTTTAAATGAAGTATCTATGTAAGCCTGTTTATACCATTACAGAACTTCACGGGAATTTTTTTCTAATGACATTTTGAAAGCATGTGCTTCAGCTGTAGAGAGGTGTAGCGCATCCTCCATGACATACTCAGCCCACAGCGTTCTCACTTCTCATCTTCACCTCTGATATGGAGAAGTTGTTTAGATCTGCTTGCGCCATCTTTTTTCCGATTTCTGGCTGGTCTGAGCTCGTTAACCTCTAGCTTAAGGTTGTGTGCACTTCCTCCAGGTGTTTCATGAGGTTACTTGTGCCATTTTCAACTGTAAACAGTTCTGTTGCCTGCCCGCCAAAACACAAAGCACATCTTATTGTGATGTTCCTATCCATTTTTATGACATAATTAAAATAATTGGAGTATAGCCAGCTGGCAATGTTGAATCGATTGTAGCCATATTGTTGTTGCTGCCTTCTTCCTCTGTTGTTTGAAACCTGTCTTCTTCTGTTTTAAAACCGTTTTCTTCTTCTGTTGTTTTAAAACTGTCTTCTCCTGATATAAAACGACACTCCCTAAAGAGCAGTCTGCTTTTTTTAAATTTGTTTTAAGCGGTTTGCCATGGAGTGTTCAGCTCAGATCATAACACTTTACCCACCTTAACAACTGTAATAATACTCTTGCTGCTGAATATTACAGTAATGCGTTACTTTTGTTATGTGCTAACCCCAACACTGCCAATCAAAGAAACCGATCACCTGTACCTCTTACTTTGCAGCCTGTGGTGGCTTCACATGCAGCGTCTCTCCTTATTTCACACAGAACTTTTTTGCTTTGAAAGCAATGTGGAGTTTGCGTCTAGCAATGGAAAAATCCTCACAGGTGAAGCACATCAAAAGGCATCAATACACTGAATACAACGTGACATTTAATAAGAAATATCTATAAAACTCAAGTTTCTACATTGGATTTGAATGCTGGTCCACTGAATTCCCATGCAAAACTTAAACCCTTTCACCATGGGGAGTATAAATTGCACACAAATGATTTCTGCATGACAGTGCAACCTCCATAGAAGTTAATTTTGCACACTGGCTGTATCCTGCAAAAAACTCTGCTACACCCATCTCTCTTCCTAGTATCTTTGCTAATATTTTTTTTTCACTCTTTTTTCGCATTGCGAGGGGTCAGTGGTATCTCTTCATCCCTCCATGTGTTTTGGACTGTGGTTGGGAAGCCAGATTTCCTGGAGAGAACGCATGCAGGGGCAGAATTCACCATCTCCATGCAGAAAGCCATATGCTAGGAATGAAACCCAAGAACTTCTTCCTGCAAGGCAACAGGGCTACAGCGCCTCGTCTCTGACCATATAAAGGATCAGATTTACTCAGTCTGACATTCTTGGTGGTAGTTTGAAGTATGTGTTTTCATCAAGTGTTTGTCAAGTTTTACGTTCATGAGAGAGAGCTGAAAGTAGTTGATTGAAAGAAATGGTTTACAATGGGATCTAGGATTACTTGGAGAGGCTAATAGATATGGCATTAACTGTGGATTGGATATTACCACCTGCTGTGATCTTCTTGGTGTTGCAGCTAATTTTCTTACCTGGAGTTCCCTTTGGGTAATGGGTTTTGTTCAAAAGCACCACAACCCCACTGGAGGATTTTCAATTTTGTGTTCTCTCCCAGAGTTGGTGAGAACCTAGTTACTATGCATAATATTATGCAGTGTTTAAAATATGGATATTTTAGATTAATGCTATTGGTAGTCTGCCAAAAATTTGGTCATCATTTGATGTTTTAGCACATGAAACAAAAGATCAACCATGAACACTGATATATCAGATACAAATTCAACTTTTTCAAAGTATTTAGATTCTTCAATCATAATAAAACAACAAAAAACTATTGGTTGTTTAAGAGAGGTTCAAGCACTATGTACTAATCAGATTCTGATTGTTTTCTCTGTTAAAACTTAAAGCATTTCTAAAAATTGTGTGTCAGTAGACTACAATAATTTAAAGCTTTCTATACATCTACTATTGGTGTAACTTATTGTTTTGTATCTGTGTAGAATAATTTCTTATGATAGCAAACAGTGATTTGATTTCTTATTTGTTTTTTGCAGGTTTTTTAACATCTATATGATCACTAATCTTGGACATGTATAGAAACATTCAAAGCCAGCGATGTGGATGGAAGAATTGCTGAAAGAAATCTGCACTTCCAAGTTATCAACTGACGGCTGTCTGGAGTGGTACAGTTGCATCTCCACATAATCCATGATGTCATTACCAAACGAGTCAGGAAACAGAGGGAAAGATCGAGAGAGGGGGGCCCGGCCAAAGGTCAGGCAGAGCCGGTCAGAGGAGAGAAGAGACTCAGGAGGTGGTCGGAAAGGCGGAAAGGGGAAGAAAAAAGGCCTCTCCTCGCATGAAGCTGTAGCTGAGCGGCCTGTCAGTGATGGGTTTGAGTATGGGGAACTGTTAAATGATCTGGAGGCAAAGGGCCAAACCTCCTCATCCCCTCAGGACACCTGGAAATGGCAGAGCTTCGATGTCACTGGATCGTTTTTGGGACAAAGTGCTGCAATTAAGCAAGGTCAAAGCACAGTTAACTCTGCCACAGAAATACAGGCTCTGTGTGATGCAGAGGGCCGAGGTTCAAGCAGCAGTCGCACTCTCAGGCAAAAAATCCAGGATGCAATGGGACAGTGTTTTCCAATAAAGACGCATAGTGCTGCAGCACCAGCTTCAACCCCTCAGGCCTTTTTATCATCAGCTGCCTGTGCCTCCTCCAGGCGGAAGATCCATCTCAGTGAACTGATGCTGGACGACTGCCCATTCCCTGTAGGATCAGAGCTGGCTCAGAAATGGTATCTCATCAAGCAACACACAGCCCCCATTACCCAGCCTCCGCTGTTAGATCCCTCAGTTGTGTGCAGTGTCCCAACTTCAGCAATGGCTGCTGTGGAAGACGTGGATGACAAGCTGCGAGAGCGCAGGCGCATCAGCATTGAGCAAGGAGTCGAGCCACCCCCCAATGCGGAGATCCACACATTTGAGGTGACAGCTCAAATTAACCCACTGTACAAGCATGGCCCCAAGCTGGCTCATGGCATGAATGAATTAGCTGGGGCTGACAGAGCCTCTGCCCAGCAGCAGCAACAGCTTCTTCTCCAAAGACAGCAGCAACACCAGCTCTTGCTGCAGAGCTGCCTGGATACTCTCGATGAGGTCGCAGCCTCAGCATCTGCTTCTCTGCACTCCTCCGACATGTCCTCTGACCCTTTGGTTGACCCAGAGGTGACAACAAACAGTTTGACATTAAGATCCACACTTCCAAGCACAGAGCATCACAAATCCCAAGAAGGCTACCATTTTCACACTCAGATCGATTACATTCACTGTTTAGTCCCAGACTTGCTGCAGATTACTAATCTCCCGTGTTACTGGGGGGTCATGGACCGATATGAAGCGGAGACACTGCTGGAAGGAAAGCCTGAAGGCACCTTCTTGCTGCGTGACTCTGCCCAGGAAGACTACCTCTTCTCTGTCAGCTTCCGTCGCTACGGCCGGTCGCTGCACGCACGCATTGAACAGTGGAACCACAACTTCAGCTTCGACGTCCACGACCCCAGCGTCTTCCACGCTCCCACAGTTACGGGGCTGTTGGAGCACTACAAGGACCCCAACTCTTGCATGTTCTTCGAGCCCCTTCTGTCCAACCCCATACACCGCACACACCCCTTCAGCCTGCAGCACATCTGCCGAGCCGTCATAAGCAGCTGCACAACATACGACGGCATCAACATGCTCCCCATTCCAAATGCGCTGAAAAAACACTTGAAAGAATACCACTATAAGCAGAAAGTGCGAGTACGGAGGATGGATACGTGGTGGGAATGAAAAACAAGTTAACTCAGACTCAAGGACCCAGTCACATACAAGCCTTTTTTTTTGAAGTACTGTGCATAAATTCACATGACACTGTATTTATTTATTTTATTCCTGCTTCATGTAATAACAATCGTACTAAACCACACTGATGAGACAATGTGTTATCTCACTGATCTTGCACATTCAGCGTGATGTTAAGCTCAGATTAAACAGTTTCAGATTCATGCTGTTCCGTGTACTGCTTCTCATCTGTGTCTTCAAGCGAGACTAAATCATCTTAATTATTTGATGAGGGTTTGAATGACGAGGATTATATTGGAGCTGCTCATCGATCACACACTGAGAAGCCTAAACACATCCTCTCGGAGATCGTCACTGAAGAGTGCAACACTTTCAGTATTACAGTGGTGTGTAAAAAAAAATACTCCTTTACCTTATTTCACAGTTTGTCCTATAAAAACACATAGTTTAGTGCATTTTTCAAAAGATTTAGGTAGGGACCAACATAGAATAAAGGATACACTTGAAGTGAAACAAGGATAAGGTAAGATTATTATATCTTAAAATTTGGTATGAAATTGAATTAATTCTCTTTTAGACTGATATAACAAAATAAAGTCCAGTGCATTCCATTAAACCTCATCAGTACTTAGTTTAAGTTGAAATATATCGCGTATAGATACAATACAACCAAGGAGCTCACCACACAGACCTGGGATAAAGTAGGAGGATGAAACAAGCGTTAGGTTCTAAAACGATCCTACATTTAGAAAATAAGATTGCTCTTTCTGGTTGAGACAGAATAATCTGTTATAAGGGGTGTTAGTATGCTTTGGGGAATTTTTTTCTCCCAAAGGGCAAAGAGAGATAGAGATGGTTGGAAGTTGCATAGACGGCATGTAAAGACTTGAGACTCATGAGTGTTTCCCTTCTAGCAGTACACAACCAGAGCTACCATGGGATGGCTTAGAGAAAAGCATTCATGGGATGGCTCTGAATCACATGTTCAGTTTAGTCAGTGTGAGTTTGAGCCATCCTAAAAATAATAGGCACCATTATTCAGGCTCTAGTTTTGTGAATCTAGTAGACATTCCAGAAGACTTGCAGCTGGTATTGTGCCAAAAGCTGCCTCTTCCAGCTATTGAATCAAGAGCAAGAATACAACCCCCGGTAAAAATTAGGGAATCACCACCTCGGCTGATTTTCATTCAGCTGTTTAATTTTGGTTTAAAAAAGCAGATCACAGACATGACACAAAACTAAAGTCATTTCAAATGGATATTGTCTTGGCTTTAAGAAACACCAAAAGAATTTTTTTTAAAAGCTGGTAGTCAGTAACTTTTACTTTTTTAGACCAAGCAGAGGGAAGAAATGAGGGAATCGTGAAAAACAAAACGCTCCAACACTAGTACTAGTATTTTGTTGCACCACCTCTGACATTTAAAACAGCTTGCAGTCTCGGAGGCATGGACTTAATGAGTGACAAACACCACTCTCCATCAATCTGGCCCCAACTTTCTCTGATTGCAGTTGCCAGTTCAGCTTTGCTGCTTGGAGCCTTGTCATGGACCATTTTCTTCAACTTCCACCAAAGAATTTCAATTGGATTAAGATCCTGACTCTGCAGGCTATGACATTGACCTTATGTGTCTTTTTTTCAAGGAAAGTTTTCACTGTTTTTGCTCTATGGCAAGATGCATTATCATCTTGAAAAATAAATTAATCATCCGCAAACATCCTTTCAATTGATGGAATAAGAAAATTGTCCAAAAACCCCACGTTAACTTGTGCATTTATTGAAGTTGTAATTACAGCCATGCCTTAACCTGACATGCAGCCCCATATCATCAATGACTGCTGAAATTTGCATGCTCTCTTCAGGCAGTCATCTTTATAAGTCTCATTGGAACGGCACCAGACTAAAGCACCAGCATCATCACCTTGCCTAATGCAGATTCAAGATTCATCACTAAATATGACTTTCATCCAGCCATCCACAGTCAACGATGGCCTTTCCTTAGTCTAATGTAACCTTGTTTTTTTTTCTGTTTAGGCGTTAATGATGGCGTTCATTTAGCTTTCCTTTTTGTTAATCTCATATCCTTTAGGCGGTTTTAGACTTAGACAATTTTTTTTATTTTCTATACACAACTGACTGTACACAAAAAGAAATTTAGTTTTGTACAGCTCTAATGACATTTCCATTTCTTAAAGTGCAGCAGTGATCAAATGTAAACAGTGTGGGAGAAAAAAACATGGTGCAAAAAGTGCATTGATATGGAAGTTCAGAAAATTAAATAGATGTGCAATTTTAGGGTGCAATTTTGCAGGGTTTTGGATTGGTGTTGTCAATATGATTCAGAGTCTGTGACATGATTTAGAGTTTTTTCAACATTCAGCTGTCTGATGGCTGTGGGGAAGAAGCTGTTACAGAATCTGCTGGACCTGCATCAAATGCTTCAAAGCCTCTTCCCAGAGGGCAGCAGGAAGAACAGGCAATGGTGGGGATGTGAAGGGTCATTGATAATGTTACAGGCCTTGTTTCAAATGACATCTCTGGCGTTGGAGTCATGATTCATGTCTGTCCACTTGGTCCATTCAATCCTCAGTTGTTTTGCATTTTTGTTTTTTTAAAACGTGTCGCTTTAAGTTTTCTGCCTTGATGTGTTGATGTCTTTCCTGGTCATCAGTATGTTTGCCTTTAACAATCTTCCAATGCCATTTGTTTTTGGTCCAGATTTAAGACTCTGGACTGAATGAACAACCAACATCTTTTGCAAAATTTTGTGATCATTTACCCCTTGAACCCCACGGACCCACCGGCGGGTCCAGCTGCTACATGACCTCGTAATTTTACCAAACCCCCAGTATTGATGTAAAAAACATATTTGGCACAGTTTGGTGACATTTATGGATACATGTGCCAAAATGGCCTAAGAAATTTCTCACTAATACCATTCTAAAATAAATATGATTCATCTGATTGAGTCCAAATTTGGTATATTTTTATACAACATTTAGATTTAAAAGTCTGTACTACTTTTTTGTGCTATAAATAATATTTTGGTAGTGTTTTGCAATGTTTATTTCAAAGAAAATTTTGGCGAGGTTCAAAAAATGCAAAATATTTTGTATTTTGTCCCTAATATTTCAGGCAGGATCAAAGCTACAATGGTGCTGACACCAGAAAACCATTCTATGACATCTTACCTTTACAGACGTACCAAAAGTTTTTTCTTAAATCTAATAGCTTTGAGGCTATAAGTTATTTACTTTTGTGTGTTTTTGTCAGGCAGAAATTTATTTATACCCCCTTAGGGTGTAAGAGGTTAAGAGTTTGCTAAGTTAGAGTCAGGATTCATGTCAGTCTACTTGTAGCAGCTCTCCAAAGTTTGATCCAGTTTGATGCTGGTGATAGTTTTGGGGATGGAAATTTTTGTGTGATATCTGTTATCTGCTTTTTTACTACAAAATTAAACAACTGCATAAACATACGGTGAGGCTGCTGATTCCATAATTTTTGTCAGGGGTTGTACAAATGTTATGAACCTCCACCTTGTAGATTTCTTATTTGTGTGATATGTGAAACAGCTTTCTTTTTCTTTTAGACCATGACATTAATCACCAGGGTTTAGTTTTAGGCCGTAAGCCTGTGCTGTATTAAAGCTACCCCATATATTGATATACAGTTGAATACGGTTGAATTAAACTCAGCCTCTATTGCAGAATTAGTAGGCAGTCTGGAATTTGATTAGTTTGGCCAAGTCTGGGTACATATGAAAAAGGGTATGGAAATACATTTTAATTTGCTAACAATTGCTTTTCTTATCGTCAACAAAAATATTTGGGTTTTTAAAAATGAATGACTCCAGTTGTTGATGGTGGGTCTTAATATCAGTTCTTGTTTTTAGTTTTAAAAGTGTCCAGATTTATGTGATAAAAAAAAAGTAAATAGCATATCTTCAATAAATTAGTCTCAAAATATTTTAGCAATTTGAAAAATATACATATTAGTAAATTAAAAAAACAAATTGAAATTGTTTTTCTTCATAATGCTTGTTTTTATTGATTATCGCAGATTTATCTCTTACAACACGGATCTGTTTCATATGTAGGGTTGATTATCAAATTATTTTGAGCAGAAAATATCAAGTACAAGTAAATGTATAGTTCATACAAATAAACAAATAACAGGTTATCCAGCTCAAAAAGGAGTGGGAAGAAGAAAAACATATTTACTCCCACCCCTTTTATTCCCAATAAGGATACTTATAAACATAACTGCTTCCCATCAATGTTAATAAAGCAAATAACAGAATATTGAAGAAAGGTGATACAAGCAATGGTTAGCATACAGGAACAAGACCATCAATGCAGATACCAACTATGGTAAGAAAACTAATGCCAGAAATTGCAAGCATGCAACAGCAGAAGCATCAAAGCAAATACTAACAATGGAAGAAGACAACATAACCAAAAACGAACATGAATGGAGTACAAAAAGTAAAGACAATCATAAAAGTGTTATTTCTTTTACGCCTCAATCATCCTATATTGATCCCAAAATTCTTGTTTATGACATGACTTACTGTACATCTATGAAGATTATCAGCTTGTTAGTTGGCATAAAAGATATTATTTTGAAGTTGATAAATTAGCCAATCACATACTTGGGTCTCTATGGTGTGCAATAGGGACAGTTCATCTTCTTTCATGATGACTTTAATACAGTAAATATGTAATAAAATGAATGCTAAAATAATTCTTATGGTGTCAAAAACTTTGAGTTCATGTATTAATAATTTTGAATTAGATTTCATGTGTTTCATAGTTAAAATAAGTTTAATTTTTGAATAATATAATTATAGCACTTCAGGCTCTTAATACTTAGCTTAATTCATTCCATTTTATGTTTGACTCCTCAGTCATTCATTGCTCTTGGCATCATTTACATGCAATTCCCTTTCAAAAATGTCAGTTTATTCATTCACCATTTTATTTTTCACTGAGGAACCACTGAAAATGGTATGATTTTTTTTAAAACAAGATAAATAATGAAGAGAAGAAACAACCCTGTTAGCAAGAATAGTCTGCTCCTCTGGCTTTTTAAGAGGAGCTACTGCTACATTTGGCTTATTGCAGTCTGATCCAGGAATTTAAATCACTGGTTTAATATTTCAGTACTTTGGTAATAGATAAATCGTTGAAGTTTATTGATAAAACC